CACACACACACACATACATATATATATATATATATATATTATTATATATATATATATATATATATATATATATACATGCATATACATATACATATACATATACATATACATATACATATACATATACATATACATATACATATACATATACATATATACATATATATATATATGCATGCAACATATCTGCAATACACCCATATTCGTGCATGTCTATGTATACCTATATACACATAATACAGCTTCTATGCACACCTTCCATGCCATCCAGATGTTGGTACCGCTGTTCCGTTAAGCTCAGACTGTTGACTGGCATTGAGCATCGCCTTCAGCAGAAACTGTGACACTGCCGGCTCTCGACAGTCGTAGACCTTTGCACAAACATCTCCAGGGTCGCTACCAGGAGTGTGTGTCTGTGTATGTACTTGTTCTTGTTGTGGTTGTTGTGCGTGTGCGTCTGGGTGTGTCTGTGTGGGTATGTTAATGTTGTTGCTGGTACTTAAGGGTATATCCGAGAGTCTGAGCAGCGGATAGTGGGGGCTGATGGACTGGGGAGTGGGTGTGGATTTGTCCGGCAGTGCCGCACTGACGTTGCTAGGCGACGGTTGCCTGGTAACGTTGGGTACTAGTCGAAAGAACAGCGAGAGCGTCTCTCTCGAGCCTGGATGGAAAGGAACGCATATGCGTTAGTATTAACCAGTGAAGCACTCTGATGGTAGGATAATTATATACACACAGACCCACCCACCCGCCCACCCACACATCCTGGTCCAGTTAGAAGGATACCTAGTACAGACGTAGGTCCAATCCCACTCTTAAAACTAACCATCCCTAATAGCTTATGAACTACCATAGACCACCATCCACCATCCACTACAGCTCACATATATCCACTTGCAGTTGGACGATGACAATGATAATTAGATGCATGCACAGCCGTTCAACCACTGTTGCACTATCAGTCGGCGCATGGACTGACATATATGGTTCACAACAACCCAGCCCAAACCAAACAACAGTAGACTTTGCAGGCAGCCCGTAGACACTGCAGCGGATACCAACATACCAATGGCCATGCCGTCTTCCGCCAATTGCGGACTGAAAATGGGTTCAACCCGCCAGTGCGCACTCAGGCAGGTCACCTGCCGAAGGTGTAGGGGATGCACTGGACACGCATGTATACACGTCAAGAACAGGAATATAATAGAGTGAGTAGGTATATATATATATATATATATATACATATATACACATATATATAAGCGTGATTAAAAGGAGTACATGACTTGTAGATCAAGTATATACATGTGGGAAAATACAGACACACACACTACATTGACTAAAACTACCAGAGCGCATTCAGGCAGTTGACCTGTCGGAGGTACATGGGGTACACTGATCACGCGGGGATATCAGTGTCAGACACACAGATGGATGCATGTATAACGGGAGACATATGAGATGTGGATGGAAGAATACTTAAATGAGTAGGTAGCTACAGGCATTAGGATACATGTTGGTGAATCGAGGCAACACACTTAAGTGAGTAAGTGGAAGGAAAACACAAGTAGGAAGATATAATATATGTCGGTGCATCCGGTGAGCGTATGTGAAATGTAGATAGAAGTATATTTGAGCATGTACAACGACAGATAATACATGAGACTATCAGTGAGTACTCAGACACATAGTACGCACTGGACACAACAACACAGCGAAAAGCTTTATGCTCAGATACGTTAACTGTGAGAACGTTTCACGACAACACCATGAGACGCAACGGGCAGTTCATATGATATATACGTTAACGCATATGCCATTTGCTTCCCATCCACATAGTTGTCACGCACGTATCCTGATAATCCCTACAAGACCTGCTTCACTTTGCCTACACATTGGCTACATATCTGTAATTTGCTATATATACCTATACGTCTAAGACACGGTGCAAGGTGATTCCCATTGCCACAAACACACACACACCTGTCTGATGACCCTGCTGTGTGTTCTCTAACTCCACACTGAGCAGCAGATGGTCTGTGTTGGTGGGACTAGGCTGTGTGGTAGCAGACACGCGCAAAGAGGGCGTGATGCAGGTGGCTAATTGTTGGCGATCGAATCTGCGGATAAGAATATGGATTCGGACATTCAGCACGGTATATATATATA